CGAACCTGTTGGCGGAGCAAGCTCTGAAGTGATTGGTGAGATTCGGTTTCTTAAGGTTGAATTGAAACATGGAAGAGAAGCTATCGGACCTGAACATGGTGATGAGTCCAAATATTTCAAATCGCTCTCTCTATCTCTGCTTTTCAATCGAACACTGGTGTGGAGGTGGTGGAGCTGTCGATTCAATATTGTAAAGCCTAAATCCAAGAAAGTTTGTGAAGATTAGGGTTTACATCAACAGATATGGAGTAGTCACTTCCTGATTTAATGGGATTACCCTTGATGAGCGGTATGATTTGCTGATTTTACGGATTGATGAATATACGGGATGGACTGCAAGAGGGTAGAACAGGAATTTCACATAGATTAGTTTTTTTTCGTCCACATTTACCCCTTCAATTTGTTAAACTGTACACATTCAGTCCTTATGACCGGTTACTCCAGATTAGCCGGGAAAAATGACTTAATAGGGTAATATACTTCTCATTTTGTATACATTTAGTCCTTAATATTTTTGTACACATTTAGTCCTTAATATTTTTTTTGTTTCAAAATAAGTCATTTTTGTTTTTGTACACATTCAGTACTTATGAATGTTTTCTCTAGGTTTTTCTCACGACATCTTACATGGGACAATCATTGATGAAGTGTGTGGGGCTGTTGATGTTTATGTGTAATGTCTCATTTTCACAACAAAAAATTTTCATTTTTAACTAAGGCAAAACTCCCTAATTATAAATCCATTATTAAGAAAAAACGTTTATTCAAAAATACATTTATCGAAAATCAGAGTAATATAAGAAACGCAAAATCCTCAATATTGTTGATGAGTGTATACAGTCATGCATCCTCCTTCCCACGACCAACGATAGAAACTGGAAACATAAACAACTGGGTAAGCACAAAGTTTAGTGAGTTTCCCCCAAAATACCCGATACAACAAACGTATTATCATGCATAACGGACCCACACTCATCAGACTGGAATACCTTCGCCCAATCAGTCATCAGACTGGAATGTCCACATGCAACAGGTCCAATCAGTCATCGGACTGGAATACCCAAGGTTTGTTGGCATTCCGCCTTAACCCAACAGCTCTTCTCGAGTCTTCGTGCCTATAGCTTATAGTCGGCCCGCACCAGGTATCTTGGCCTACAACATATAGCATGACCACCTCAACCTATCCCACCACCATATGGCTATCCCACATAAGATGTCGTGAGAAAAACCTAAAAAAATCATTCATAAGTACTGAATGAATACAAAAACAAAAATGACTTATTTTGCAACAAAAAAAAATATTAACGACTAAATGTGTACAAAGTGAGAAATATATTACCCTATTAAGTCATTTTTACCAGCTAACCTGGAGTAGCCGCTCATAAGGACTAAATGTGTACAGTTTAACAAGTTGAAGAGGTAAATGTGGACGAAAAAAAAAACTCAGTGACTAAATGTGTACAAATCGAAAAATATATTACCTTTTATTTTAGACTCCTGTTTTTTTTTCCTTTTTAGGCAATGAATCCCTTAAAATCAGCAACAATTTGAATTTGAATTCAAATTTGATTAATTTATGTCTTTTACTATGGTCTTGACTGATATCTGATTATTTAGAAAGAACAAGAGGATCAATGGTTCTAACCAACTTCAATTCTTCAAATTTGTGGATACAACCTTCTTCTTATTCCTCGAAACATTAATTGTGTGTCTCCAAACACTAACTATGGGGGGGGGGGGGTGTTTAACGATTTGTGTGTGTGTTGATTTCGTAACTCATCTAATCCGATTTCAGCATGACTGGTTTCTCACATTTCGTCACTCCTGGGCGAACGATATCTGGTAGATTTTTCTTTTTCATCAATCTTCTGATTTTCTCTTAAAAATTTGGAGTTCTTTGTTACATAATTCAAAACCCACATTTGGGGATTTTTAGATTCTCTTCATGAATTTCCAACCACCTAACGGTAAAGTAGATTTGATAAATTTATCAGTTTTGCTTTTTTCTAACAAATCTGGTCATGGGAAAAAGATAATAAAACTAATTGGGGGATTATTAGATTCTTTTTTGTGATTCAAAGTTTACAGGTTTGACGACGCACACCAAATGTTTGATGAAATGCTTGAAAGAACCTGTAAGATTTAGTTTGACTTCATGATAACCCTGTTGTTTCGTTAGGCAGCTAGGTACGGGCAACGCGTATTCGCGTTAATCCGACGTGGAGGTGTAAAAACGCCGGTATAACGCGCCGAACACCGCGCCCGGCGTGCGTTATTAGGCGTTACGTTATAAACGTTACTGTGGTAACGCTCGACAATGGGAAGAATTCGAAGCAAAAATGATCCAACGTCTATATTTTTAATTTTTCAACCGTTGTAAAACGGTCAAAAATGTAAAAAAAAATTAATACAATTTCAATCTTTTTTCAACTATATATATATATACATACATCAACCTTTATATTTTACAAATATTTTATTACTCTCAAACCTTCAAAAAAAAAATTCTTTTCCCTACTATGGATCAAAACCCCAACATTCCTCCTCCAAACAAAAACAAACCTCCTCCTCTTGGTTTTGCACAATACGAAATGTACGCTAACATTCTCAACACACAAGACAACTTTTTCAATCCCGCCTCACCCCCACCACATTTCACTACAAACCTTCCACAAAACATTTTCAACCCATTTGCAACAATGCAACAAAATACCACACAACCACAACCCACCCAAGAAACTGTACCCGAGACGCAAGCGGGGGGAGCGGGAAAAAACGGCCCAAAAAGGTAGAGGACGAAGGAAAGGGAAAGCGGTTGCGGTGGAGCAATCGGAAGGCGAACCTCCTACATGGTGGACCGCGGACGAGGAATACACGTTGGCGGTGGCTTAGTGCGGGACATCAAAAAATCCAACGCAAGGAAACGACATGCGAAGAGTTGCTTTTTGGGAAGCCGTGATCGTGAAATTTTGTGCCATTTTGAATAAAGATGAAAACTACCGCAATCACGACATGTTGAGTAGCAAGTTGACTCAAATTAGCAAGAAGTGCACCAAGTTCAATTCCATCTACAACAAACTTTCCTCGCACAAGAAAAGTGGTGCGACCGATTTTGACGTTTATAGAGCAGCGAGGGAGAAATATCATGTGGAGACTGATCACGTTTTTTAGCACGAAAAAATTTGGGAGATTGTGAAGGAAGACCCAAAGTGGAATAAAACTGACACATTTATGGAACAAAAATCGAAGAGGTCGCGCGGCTCGGGTTCGGTCGATGTTTTGGACGCGTGGACGAACATCGACCTCAATGCGGACACGGATGAGATACCGGACGACTTGAACGACCTTGAAGAGATCTCCCCGCCTCGACGACCGATAGGCCGCGACAAAGCAAGGCGTGCTCAACGGCACGCGGATGAAGCCGAAAGTAGACGACGAGAGCAAGCCGAAATGAAACAAAAATTTGACGAGCACAACGAAATCACGCGTAAAAGATATGAATTGCAACAGGAACATTTTGAATTCTTGCGTCGTGAAGCCGACGGAGATCGTATTGCGAAAGATTTGACAATTCTTCAAACTAGCGAGGATAATTTGTCACCGAGACGGTTGGAGACACTCCGAAAAATGAAGACGAAGATTGAGCAGAAATATTTAGACGAAGATTAGTGTTTTTTTTCGTTGTAATGTTTTTTTTTTGTTATTTTTTCGGTCTATGTTTTTTTTTTCGTTGGAATGTCGTTTTATGTTTTTTGGTTGGAATGTAGTTTTTAATTAGTATTTATTTTAATTATGCGTTATTTAATTTATATGTTTTTTTAAAAATTATTATGACATAAATTAAAAAAATAAAACAAAATAGAAAAATGGGAATTACAAACATCAAAAAAAAAATTAAAAAATAAAATAGAAAATAAATGGTGTTATTACATGTTATTTGGTGTTGCCCATTTCCACATTTAGTGTTATAACAACATTTATGACTAGGATGATGATGTGACACCTTTTGGATGTGGTAACATGTAATAACATGTTGCCCATACCCAGCAGCCTTAGCTAAATTTTTTAATATTGATCAGACAATATAAGAACTTAGACTAATTAGAAACTCAAAAGTTGCAAAACTAAAAATAACAGACTTTATATTAAAGAATATAAATGTCATATTTATTGCTTCACTCTTTCTTGGAATTTTCTCAGACAATTATCCTCATTAGTAAAACCTTTTCCTTTTCTATGAATTTTATTTTTGTTAATTACGAATTTTGGTAAAAAAAATGTATTTTTTTATCACCATGGATAAAGAACAAAATTAAATTTACATATTGGAGGTTAGGTTTGCGGATTCAGATTTTACATAACTGTGGTAAAGTTTGAGAGGGTTAGAGAAGGTGGCGATAAAGGGTGTTGCTTTGAGTTTCTCACCGGCCCTTTCCAAGCTCTTAAGGAAGTCGGGTGAACTTTGACCATTTTCCCCTAATGGGTTTCTCCTTATGCTGTTTTTAGTTTAAGAAATTTCAATTTTTGTAACATTGACTACAAATTAAATATTTTATAATACATTAAAATAACTTCGTATTTTGTTATGATAAACAATTTAATAAAATAACATGTCATTTAAAGTTGAATTGTATGAGATTTAAACATGTGTCACTAACTTAATTTATTAAAAATTATCCCCTATCCTAATAAATAAGTACTTTTCTGCCATGTGGCATTCTCCAAGCCCTCTCCTAGCTTATATTCCCGCTCATTTTATCAAAGTGAAATTCCGAAATTATCCCTCTCACCCTTATTTGTTCATTTACCGGTCAAAACTTTCCTCTTCAATTTTCATATTTCAATAGGAAAATCAAGAATTTATCTTTTAAATCTTCACTCATCCTCAAATCTCGGTCCCTTGATTAGCTGTGATTTGGGTTTCAAAATCCCTAATTCACTCCCTTCAGTTGTAAAATCAGTCGCCCATTTATTATTTCGACATTCTTGCTTTGTAACCTCTAATTTCCATCTGACTCGTTTTCTTTGATCTTTTTGGTAAGCTCCGATGGCGGAACAAGAGGAGGAAGCAATGGCAAAATTTGAAGTGGATGACACACAGATTTGGAGAGAGACGAACACCAATCGACCAAGGTCTTCCACCACCTCTCCCGTTGCCGCCTCAAGCAGATATCGCTCTTCTCAACATAGGTGACCACCGAACGACCGGACCGGTGACATAACGGATAACCATCGACCCCAACTGCCATAACGTGATTTGAATGGAACATTAGTTTTTTTTTTAATACTAGGTATCACTTAAATATTTTGGGAGACAACAAAGCGATACGTCGGCATCCGTTCTTCATTTTTTGTCGAACCCAAAATCCTTCTTCCCCCAAAAAGTAAGTTACTCACTCCAATTTGTAGTTGAATTTTGTTTATTTTTGTTGATTTTGTCCAAATTGACATTTTTTCATTATATCTAATAATTTTCCCTATATTTTTTTTACAACAGGTAATGTTTGCACTTTGGATGTGAATGAAGATTGTTAAGATTTTATATAATGGTAATTAGATTTATACCCTGTTTGTGAGTTGATATAGAAGCCATACTTTTGCTTTGATGACTTAAGTGAAAAAAAAATATAAAGATACTTGATAATACTAGAGAGGTAGATACTAGATAATAGTAGAGAGGTAGATTCAGCCAAATTGATAAGGTAGCGGACTGTGAAGACTGTGAATCCACCATGTGTTGAACTTGGCTTTAAATTATAAATGGGTGGTGGACTGGGTACCACCAATAGACGCCATGTAAACAAAACAGGTCCGTCGAGTGTTGCTTGCATACTCCTGGGCCTAACCCAAAATGTTCTATACCATTACCATATCACAAAACAAAAAACAAAACACAAAAGAAAAAAAGATAAAGGAAAAAATAGAATAACATACGATTGAATTTGATTCAGCAGGTGATGTTGTTATTTTCAGCAGGTGATGTTGTTATTTCCAGCAAGGCTCTCATAAAACAAGATGTATCCATGCTCAGTGTTGCTTGCATACTCCTGAGCCAAACCAAATGAAGTTTGAACTGCTGGCTCATCAATCATCTCCACATTCTCATCATCAAAGAAGAGCCAGTGGTTGTGGCTTTTCACTAGACTCACATAATGCACATGGTTGGCCCACTGCCAACATGGACCACCATCGCGAACAAAGAGTACTCACAATCAACATCTTCCATGGTGTTTGTTAGCTTCAGCTCAAGGGGAAACACAACACGATATGACAACTTCTTGTACCTTCTCAGCTGCTCCATGTATTTGAAGCGTTTCAAATGTATCATTAGAATATGTGGTTGTTTCTTGATCTTCATCCTCTTTTGTGCTTCCTGCAAACTGTGGGCCCCCACAAACATTTTTACACTTCATAAAAAAGAAAACCTTTATTACAAAAATAAAATATTGTTGAGAAAGAAAGTAGAAACCTGCAGCACTTATCATAGAAAAACTTATCCTCAGCCTTTAAGGTCTCAGTGGAACTGAAATTCTTTAGGCAACTTGTAATGGAACTGTTTTGCTCCGAATTCCTTTAACCTATCGATTTAAGAAGTATAACTCTAAAACGAGACTTATTTAAAAAAAAATAAACTTTCTGCTTGTGACCTCAATATTTAAATTTTAAGGTAAACACAAATGGAGGTTGCAGGGGCAATTTCGGTTAACAATGTAATTAGTTAGTAAATTTTATGTAATTTAAGAAAAATGAAAAATACCACAAATTGCCAAGTGACATAATGCTTTAGATTGCAAAACATTCTTATTTATTAGGGTAGATTTTTTATCCTATATTGTCCTGTGTTCCATCATATGTTCAAAACCATGAAATTTACTTTTCTTTAATTGTTAAATAACAAACAAATATTTTTTTTGTTATCCTTTTTTCATAAAATTAATAGTTAGTTAATGAAACTATTTTGCTTTGATAAACAGTTAGATAGAAAAGAATAGCTTAATAATATATATAATGTATTTTTGTCATTTTATATTTATATAAAAAATATTTGTCAAATGGATGTTTTAAACTTGTTTTACTCTAATAACGTATAATACACAAGTTATGAATATTGTTTTTCTTTTTCAACCGTGGTTTCTACGGGTTTAAATTTATTATAAGTCGTTTCACACAAATAATATGTTGCATTATACAAACTCATGACTTTTATAAAATAGGTAGATTTACATGTGTAATTAAATACTTACAAATTACAAAGTTATTAAAAAATACAATATTACAATTCATAAGTGTTTCTAAATTAATGATATATTATTTTATTATATAATCAATTTTTTAATTCTATTTAAAATTATTACCGGTGGGTTCCACGAGTTTTAACCTAGTTAGGTTATAACCCGTGTACTATGCGGGGCAATGTAAAATAACTTTGAAAGTTAATAAACCTTAAAAATAATAATACATTTGTCAATGGTAGTGTGAACAGAAGTAAAAGGATATTAGCCCCTTAATCATAGATAAGAAACAAAAAATAGTCATAAAGGAATTCCTATATATGATAACAAAGAAATTGAATGATTAAATGTTGATTCCACGCTTTGATCTTCAAATACTTCTTCAACGATGTTCTTCAATTTTGAATATGCTTATGATCTCTAAAATTTGTCATTTTTCTTATTGCACAATGCAACATATTGGATATCAATGAGGAGGTCCTTTATTTGTAGGATTCTAGAAATCCTTCTCGTCGGGTCACAAATATAGCATTGTCGTGTTTGTATCATCGCATTTTTGCATTCTGGTTGAAGTAAGACGATTGGCCGCGACGCGAAAATGGAGTTGCCATTACACGTCTTCTTGATTTTTGGCATATTTTCCTTATCCTCTTCAACTAAGAATTTATCTGTAAAAATATGATTTCAAAGGAGTAATAAAAACATGAGTTTAAAGGAGTAATAAAAAAAATAAAACCATGAATTTAATGGAGTAATAAAAAAAGTATCTACCTGATAGAAATCCCGATTATTTAATGTCTGTCAATAGTCTAAAAGTAATTGTTCATGGTGTTTGCACACGAAAAAAGAACTGTGTTTTCCAGTCCAAGAATAGTCATAAAATGAAGTAGAATGCTTTTTCTAGTAGGTTGCAACAAAAAACTATTTTTCTGTAAAGTAAGATGCTATAAATTGCTATTTTTAGTAAAAAAAAAAGGTAAATAAATAAATAAAATGGTTTACAGTCCCAAAGCAATAAAAAAGCTTTGTTTTTCACTCCAAAAAATTGACCGATTTTAAACAACTAGTTAAATCTTCGATTGAGGGTATCTTGAATTTTTTGGGCTCTTGACATTTTTGCCCCTGGTTCCCTTAATGAGTGTTGGTTGCTTATCGGTATCCGGTTGTCTTGTTTTGGTTGGTTTGATTTGGTGGTCTTGACACATGCTGTTATGTTTTCCTAGTTTGGTAATTTGGTGCATTTTTAGTTCCTTTGACGTTTTTGCCTCTGGCCTATTTTTTCAGCAGCCTTGTAACGCTTCATCAACTCTGCAAAAAAATATATATATCCCTTAAAGCTTTTATTCATAGATTTATTAAGTTGTAAAAACACAAAAACAGGATCAGGTTGAGCAAGACGGGGAGCTTGGTCGAATTCATAGACCTATTAGGCTGTAAAAACACGAAAATATAAATATTCAAGGGTTACCTTGTCACACCCTAAGTAAAAACAAATTTCTTGGAGTAATAGGTCTATGAATTCGACCAAGCACCATGCAAATGAATAATAAATGGTATTAATATGAGATGAAAAGATGTCAAGCTCTTAATTGCAAGGAAATATAAGTTAAGATAGTAACAAGTGAAACGAAGGAGGAGCGCAAGAAAAATGAATGCTTTATTTTAGTGTAGTTTAAGTCATTAATCCAAAGACTTCACTAGATTCGAAAAAATAAATAGGGAATATATCAGAAACCTAAAGAGAATTTATCACTGCCAAGGTCAACATCTTCAAGGGATTTTACCCGAACAATGCAATATAACCGCTCTTCAACACATCAATATCCATCTTAGTCCGGTCAGTTGCTTGCATCTCCACCTGGTTACCCTACGATTAATAAGAAAAGAGTGTAACATCCACCTTTCAATCTACCACCCGAATCAGAAAGATTATATGAACCCAAAACTTGATTACCCTGCAATTAATAACAAAAGAGATTCAAAACAAAGAAAAAGAAGTACCCAAAACCAGAAAGGTGTATGATAAATGGTGTATGATAAATGATTATTAAAGTAAAAACAGAAATACCAAACATGATCTGCATCATCTTGTGATGTTTAAACTTAATGGACTCGAAGGTCCAATCAATAGCGGAAGATGGTGATATGTTGGTGGCGGTGACTTAATCCATACAAAATAGAAAAATGAAAGAAGATCTGGCTTCCAAAAATATCAAACCAAGCTTTATCATAACGATTCTTCATTGAGGCAACATGGCTAAAATTTTAGTTTTGGGGGCGGATTAAAGTTGAACAACAATATAAAATGAATGTGTCATTAAATTGATGCTAGCTCCAGAATCGGCTAAAGCGAATGTCTTCGTGGCATTTCCAAATTCACAAGGTAACGTCAGGCTTCCTGGATCTCCCATCTTTGTTGGTATTCCTTCCATGATAACTGCTGAACATTTTTCATTAAGAACAACATTGGAAGTCTTTTCTAGTTGTTGACGAGTGTCGATAAGATCTTGAAGGAAGTTCGCATACTCGGGCATTTTAGCTATTGCTTCAATGAACAGGATATTAATTGGAATAACCTTACTTGGTTGATGAACCTCTTATGCTCTTGTTCCAATGGATGTGACCTTGCTTGAGAAGGATAAGGTAACGTAGGTTGATATGGTTTAAAAAAATAATTATGTTTTGAATTATTCTGATCCCATTACGTGAGAGGTAGCTGCTCACGTCGTGAATCCTGGGCACCATATTGTCTTTTTTTTTATCTTTGCTTCTTTTGGTTGTGAATCGGGTTGCTTCGACTATTTATTTAAGATTACTAGAGGCTCATAGATGGTGTCTTCTTCAGTGGTCATGGCCATGACGTGAGGTTGTGGTTTTGGATTGCGATTTTTGGATGGTAACCGTTCGGTAACGAGTTTAGTCAATTGCCCGAGTTGAGTCTCGATGTTTTTAATGGAAGCTTGTTGGTTTCTAATGGTAACATCAGTAGCATCATGTCTTTTTTCATAAGTTTCCATGAATCTATTAAGCATTGACTCAAAATCCGGTTTCTAATTGGGTGGTGGTTGTTCTTTTCGGTAGATGCCTCGTCCGGTTTGCCGATACTTTTCTTCTTTTTGCTTCTTGTATTCTTCATATGGAAACCATTCCCTCCTGGGCTTCCTCCGATCTTCATCAAACCGGTCACCACTAGTGTAGCATACTTGAGCTTTTTGGATCCCGTTCTCATCCAAATCACAACCTTTCATTAAGTGTGGTCCATTTCAATTGTCATACCCTACTTGTATGTCATGAATAGACTGACCCATCTTTGTCATCCTCCGGTCCATATTCATGAGTTTCACCATCACAACTGCTAAATCCTCCAAAGCTCCATTGCCTTTTCTTCTTGTAACATCCTCTTGAGGGTTGTGGTATTCTCTAGAGTGCTTCGCAAATTCTTCTATTAATTCTTTGATATTAGCAGGATTTTTACTCGCCATTGGTCCTTGAGAATCAAGGAGTTGCCTTATGGTCACATTCACCCCATCATAAAATATGGAAACTTCTTGTTGAACATTGAGATTGTGTTGATGCAAATTTTTAAGCAATCCATTGTATCTTTCCCAAGCTTCATATAAGGACTCGCCATCATTTTATTGGAAATTAGCAATCTGCTTTTTGAGTTTGGCTATCTTTGAAGGATGACTAAATTCTCTATGAATGTTTCATGAAGGTTGGCCCAAGTTCGAATAGTTTTACAGGTGCAAGTGACTTCAAACAAAATTTTGCATCTCCAGTAATTGTCACTGGAAGCATTCTTAATAAAACTGCATCTCTTGAAACATTTGGAACATTGAATTAATTTTCAATTTCCAATACTTCATCAATGAGTTTGAAATCATCTTCTTGCCTAAGGGCGCAGCACAACGAATTCTCCGTTAAAAGCTGAGATTTTCGGCGGCGGTTTCGTTTTCCGGTAAGAATTTTTGGTGAGTTTTTGGAGAACATTTTAGTGAGGCTCATAGAGGAAGGTGAGTGGAGCGCAACGCCGGTTTTGGAATTGGAAATGGTGGCTGGAGTTGGTCGGAAAATGGCCGAGAAGGTGATAAAGGGTGGTGGCCAGCGATGACAACTCCGACCATGGATCGGGGGATTTTTTTAGTGGGGTTTGTAGAGGGGAATAAAAGGAGAAGATTGGTGGTGATTTCGTGAAAATCCAACTGGTAGAACTCCGGAAATCCACGTTTTTTCGGAAGTTGAGTTGTGGATGGTGGAGCTGTGAGAGAGAATGAGGAAGATGGATAGGGCTGGCTGCATGTAGTGTTCGAGTTCTTGAGGATTGATTAAGTGAACATGTCAAGGATTCAAGGAACGTCAACTGAGTCAAACATGGTTAACGCGGGTTCGAGGGTAAGGGCGCGGCCGCGTGAAGCTCTACGTGGTCTCATGAGGTGTTGCGCGGCCTAGTGAGTTTTTTCTTTGATTTTTGCGTGGCCTCGTGAACTCAATTGAAGACTTGTTTGGTTCTTTGATCAATCTATGCGGGCGAAGAAGAACCCGAAGTGCGGCCTCGTGAACTTCTATGCGGTCTCAAGAGAGCTATTTGTTTTCTTTCTTCTTAACTCTCAGCTTGTTTCACGCGACTTTAAGTAAAAATTTAAGCGTGGCCTCGTGAACTGAAGACATAAAACTGAAAATTAGATTTTCCAAAAATTAAATTAATCCCAGAAGGAATCCTGACGACTCCCGGTTTGAAAATTTCTACAAAAATGGGACCCCGAACATGGGAAAAAATTGATTTTTCAAAAACAACCACTTTTAAAATTTCAAAAGTGTTAAAAAAATCATTTTATTTGATTTTTTTTAAAACGCAAAAGCACAATGATTTCCAAAAGTGCCATTCTTTAACGTCTTTGGCGAGACATCCTCTAAACTTTTCTTTGACACTTTGGGGCATCCAAATGGATGATGTCTTGGGAATTTGAATCAAATCCTTCATAGAACATCTTTAATCGATGTCCATTAACCTTGAAAACTTGCCCCATGTCAACATTTTTTAATTTCCACACCTCCATTGGGGCTCTTTTCTTGTATTTTCTTTTTACGGGAGAAGCATACTCGACTTAGACCTTTGATAATATGTAACACCGTAAATTTTCAAACAAATTTTTCATTTTAAAATCTCATAATTCTCATTAACCCATTTCACAAAAACCACAAGGTGTCAAATCATCAAAAACACAAATCCATAATTATTTAATAAAAATCCAGGATCCTCCAATATAACTCCATCTCGTGTGTACAATCAAGTCGGCGCCTTCCCGCGATCCTGAGAAGTACCTGAAACACATATCACATAACACGGTAAGCACGAAGCTTAGTGAGTTCCCCGAATATACCACACACATCTCATTAGCCTCTCATGGATATGGACCCTCTGGTCATGTGTCTCAGTGAAGACCCTCCGGTCTCATAGCTCGGGTCGGACCCTCCAGTCCTGTATCTCAGTGAAGACCCTTCGGTCTCACCACTCGGTTTCGACCCTCCTGTCCTAACTCAGTATGGCACAAAATAATATAGCATATATCACAAAGACAAGATGCATAATACCACATAACTCAATATAAGTACATAGGACCCTTCGGTCGACAACTCAAATAAGACCCTCCAGTCACTCAGTAAGTATAGTGAGACGACTCACCTCGCAGAGTAAAGCAATGTATCTCACACTCGAGCTGCTGGTCTAATCCCCGCCCATCCATGGCCTCCAAAATCCACAGTTAACCAGAACCCTAAAGCCAACGGAAGTCAACAGTCAAAGCTGACCCAACTCTAAAAGTCAACAGAGGTCAACACTCAAGTCAACAGTCCATGTTGACTCAACTCGCCGAGTATAGCTCATGAACTCGTCGAGTCCCTCAGAACTCAGTAAATTGCGATAACCCGAGTCTACTCGCCGAGTTGCTAGCCAACTCGTCGAGTCCATGCAGCGTCCATAAGACCAGGAAAACCCTACCTACTCGTCGAGTTGTCTCATCAACTCGTCGATTCCACTCTGAATCCAAAGACGGGTAAAATCCTCTCAACTCGTTGAGTTGTCTCATCAAGTCGTCGAGTTTGTAATGTGTCCAAACCATCAGGGTAAACCCTAACTGACTCGTCGAGTCGACCCACCAATTTGTCGAGTCCCTTTAGTCCAATTCCTCATTCAGATAATTTTGGACAGAAATAAGGTCTCATACTCTGGATCTAGCTTCCTAAGGATGAATCATCACGTAAAGCTGCAAGCTTTACGTTCATGCATGGCATATAGGGCTCAAAATGTCAAAACAAGCTTCATAAAGGTTTTCATACATGGATACTTTCCCAAAGCTTGATAAAGCTTGTATCTTTGGGCTCATAGGGACTCATATAGATCATATGTGGAGTCTCAACCTCTAGTATCAGCTCAACAACTAAAAATCCAAAAGATGGTGGAAATAAGCCCTAAAATTCCCTAGAAAGAGATCTACCACAAGAGATGCCCAAGATGGTAGCTTTTTACCTCAAAGCTGAAGCTAGCACAGAGGAACACTTGATCCACAAGCCTCTTCTCGTTCCAAGGCTTGATGCACTTCACTATTCCTCCAAAAAATGCACTTGAACACAAGATCCTTAGCCTTTCTCTCTCTCACAATGACTACAACTCGTCTAGGGTTTCTCTCAGTGTGTCTAAATGATCAGGGAGGCAGAAATGAGGGCTTAAGGTCCTTTAAAATAGGGTTCAAGCCGTAAAATTAGGGTTTTCTCAACATAGACTCAACTCGTCGAGTCCAGCTCTTCGACTCGACGAGTAGGCTTCATAACTCACGCGAACAGCTTTGCTCCTAC